ATATGGAACGTTATCGTACCTAGTCGGTTAATGATAAGTGTTGATCGAATGCTGGGTTTGGTCAACTAATTCAGGAAAACACGAGGTTTATTATGGCTATCCTAATAAATCTTAAGGTTAAATACTTGAATTGCAAGACTGCTGAAGTTTACCTATGATTGATGACCAATTGACTCAATCCGAACCCTTGGATCGAGATTTGGTAAGACTGAATTTTCCTTGTTAGTTGTTAATTGCTCTTTTGTTATTTTAGAATTTTAAATTATTCAAATTGCCCACTCTTTATATTGCGCTTTCGGCTGAGAAATTAATTACTGGCTCCCTGTGGGATTCAACTTGGTACCATTGTTACTTCAAATTTATAGTAAGGTGGGACTAGAATTAATTTTGAGGGCTTTGACAACCCGTCACCAAGCCCGACCCATGAACAGGTCTAGTTTAGTAGACTCACTAGGAGTTTTCAAAGAGTTAAATGCAGATGAATCTTAGTGACAAGAAAATGATTCTTGAACCTAGACCTCTTTGATACAAGAATTCATATAATAGACCTTCCAGGATTTCGGGTGGTTTTCTTAAGTAAAGGTAAAAGATAAAATTGGGATTTAAAAAATAATTAACTATAAGTGATATAATGTACAAATGGATCTTAACAAATTATTAATGGAAGGGAGATCTCCGTTCCATAATTCCATTGAACAAGAAGTTTAAGTCCATTTAGAAAAGTGAGAGAAGGTCTTAGTATTTAAGATAAACATTAGGGAAGGTTTAAGTCTTTTACCCAAAAAAGGGTAAAGTAAAAATCCCCCTGTTGGCACTCGGATTGGCCGAGGGCAACAAGGTAAATTCACTCCTGACCTTCAAAGGAGGGCCGAAGGTTTTGAGATTCCAGAGGGGATGTGTCGAGGCCGAGGACTGTAGGTCGAGGCGGATTGTTCCCTCGAATACTATAGAGGCCAAGGGCTAGTATTGAGGACGTTTGAGGAGACCAGGATATAGCTGCTCACTTGTGCGTACAAGGGGTCTAGAAGAACTCTTGGAAGTTGCTTCGCAAGGAAGAGAGTGTCAGAGGCCTTGGGTGGAAACCCGAGGCAAGGACTCTGACGATCAAGTTAGTGTCTGCACGAGGTAAGCAGTAAGTCTGGAACCGAGGGGTCCGGACGAGGTCACTGATGGCACTAAGTCCTCAATGAAGAGAATATGAGAGGTCTCAAAAGTTCTGGATCCTTTACATTGTGGGGGGTGCCTTGCCTTTATAGTCAGAGCTGCCTGGGAGTGGTTAGGCTCGGATGGCCCAGATGCGAGCCATATGAGGTCTTGCGAGATGTTCCAGCGGAGGACACGCGGTGCCTTGCGATTGGGCCCGTCTGGTTCGTACTGAAGGGGTCCGTGCGTCCTTATGGAAACCCCATGCTGTCGCCTTCCGTCTGACACGCGTCATCTTGGGGGAGCCGAATGCGCCTACATCACTTTCCCCCCACTCCCGAGACTGAGGCGGGGGGCTTCGGCTTTGGCCGAAGGGAGTGCTAACATTGGTAGGTGCCTTTGGGTTTATCTCGCAAGGTGTACCCTGTAGTGGCGTCGTGTTTGTCTTGCGTATGCTTCGGCCCGATTTCTTCTTCATGGTAGAGTGGCAAAGCTGTTAGGGCCTCGACTCCAGCTGGGAAGCCCGTGCTAGTGGGTTCGGAGAAGCCGAGCCCATGCCTCGTGCTCGAGTGGGTTGCTGCATCGGGGCTCTCTTGTATGAGTCGTGCGTGACGAGAGTCTTCCGTAGGCGGGATGGATGCTCTGAGTGAGCCAGTATGCAAGTCCATTGGGTCAATGGGTTTGAACCAGCGGGTTGTGGTGAATGGACTCGTCGATTCGGCCGGCGTCGTTTGGTCTCCCCGAGGCTGAGTGCCGAGTGTCATGCCACGGATGGGCAATAGGGGTGGAGGTTTCCCCACCATTGGATCTTGGCCGTTTATTCTCCTATAAATAAGGGCCTTAGATGCAATTTTTTCTTTGTCATTTGACTCTAGGCTCCCTTGCAATCGAGACTCCTGCTTCCCAAGCCTTCGGCTAACACACTTTGTCTAGTTCCTTCTAACCTTCTTCTTTAGGTAACACCTCGGCCCAATGTTTGGTTCCAATTTTGGCCCCGAGTGTAATGAGCTTCCCAAATTTTTGGAAGGGAGTTCTCTTTGGACTCCTACTCCGCTTAGCTCCAATTTGGGGCCGTTGGTTTGCGAGGTCCCCCCTCGGTGAGAGGTGGAGGTGCTAAAGGAGAGGGTAGCTTCTGGGGGGTGCCGAGGGCAACGGCCGAGGCAGTGGCCCTCCCTGTGAGAGCGCCGCATCTGTGACGCCGAGGGAGCCGAAGGGGTCTCCTCTGACCGAGCGGGACCAGGTCCCTGAGCACAATCCGAGGGTGGCGGTGGAAAGCGCTCCTCGAGGGGTGCCCTGGCCAATCTATCGTGTTTGGAGTTCGATAGCACTCTGGACGTAGACTAAATGAAGGCCCTGGCCAGGCACTTCTACATACCTCAGTCCTACTCACTTCGAGTACTTGACGTTGGTGACCGTCCGTGGACTCCCG